GTGATCATCATAAGCGAAGAGGTCGATTGCCGGAGTATCTAGTTCTGCGAAGCTATCTTTCAGAACATGCCATGAGATACCCCAATTAGAGTTATCCTCAATCTTGGATATATGGTCGGCGTATTGGTTGAGTTCGCAGGGAACCCAGATAGGGTGGAGGGAGGTATCGCATGTGATTAAGATGAAGGCAATATTTATGAGCCATGGGTTGATGACTGGATTCGAGGAGCGCATGTTTGTAAGTAGGAAAGAGGTTGGTTGACTGTCAAGGTGAAGTCTGGTTGAGGTTGATAGCAAGAGGTCCTTATGGTTGAGAAAAAGGAAGATGAAGGTTTGAAGGACTGCATACAGTTCACGGCGGGTGGAGGACGAGTCAAGGAGTTCTATAGGGAGACATTCGTTGAAAACTTGAATAATTTCATTATTAAGAAGGGGTTAAATGATTGCTGCAATTTGCGATGACGAAACGTCTGTTGTGATGAAGAGGGCGGTCTTTCTGACAATCCAAAGGCGGCTTGAGAGAAAAGGTAGGTGATGGAGCCACTAGGTTAGGTCTGGGGTAAGATTGTTGGAGATGGAGATGAGTCTCAACTTTCTGGTGAGATGGAATCGTAGAGGGATGATAGGAAAAGTGAGGCTGGAAGGAAGACTTTAGAGAGTGAGGCTAGTTTTCCTGAGATTTTTGCAAGCAATGGACTTGAAATTGGTTCAGATGAAAGTTCATTGATGAGTTGAGCGATTTCCCGGGCCTTATCATTTGAAACTTCAATTCTTTTGTGGTGCGAATCCAAAGTGAATCCTAGATATTTGATGTAATGGGATGGAAGAAAGGAGCACTTGTTGATACTGAGAAAGAAACCTAAGTTGTGAAGGAGGGCGACATAGTTGAATGTTTGCCGGATAAGGAAAGGGATGAAGGAGTTTGCTAGCACAGAGTCATCAATATAAGAGGAGATAAGGACGTTGCGGATTCTAAGTTCAGTTATTATTTTTTGCATTACAGTGGTGGAGATCCAACATGCAGACAAAACACCAAAGCAAAGTGTGTTGAAGTGATAGTTTGCTCAATTCCGGTTAAAAACAAAGAAAGGGCGGTGCTCAGGGTGAATAGAAATGTGATAATAACCATTCTTTATGTCGAAGCAGGTTAGAAAATCTTGGGTAGAATGACCAGAAAGCAGGTTAGAAAATCTCGGCCACACCCCAGACTGGCCACGCCCCAGATTGGCCACGGCCAAGATGTTTCGGCCACAACCGAGATTCGCAGGTACTACCCTTCACAGGCAAACGCGAAGTCTCAAGAGTAGCCTACTCCGAAGAAGGGGGGCTCGGGGCAGGGATGGAGGCAAAAAAAAGAAAAAAGAAAAAGAAGAAATAAAAAAGTAAAGAAACAAGGAACTTCGAATCCACCTACGTCGGGAAGGCCCTCACCTCACCAGTGCTTTGAGGAATGTATCTGGCTAGGAAGTGAGGAACATGAAACAGGTCGTTTCCTTTTTTGTTTCTTGTGCGAGGTCCTTGTAGCGCCCTGCCAGCCAGGCAGGGTGGATTCCACGGGAGGCAGCTAACTGCCTCGCTTCATTCAGTTCCAGACAAACACTGTAGCATCCTGTATAGGACCGCAATCATAGCATAAGGGATGTTTTTTATTTTTTATTTATTTTTTATTATTTTTATTTTTTATTTTTTATCAGCTGTTCGTGGATAGACGAGGGCCCTGACTAAACTGCGCAGCCCGAGTTTCAACTGCAATTGAAACTCGAGCCCTGACTAAACTGCTAAAACGCAGTTTCAAATGCAATTACAAACTGCTTTTGTGACTGCGCCGTAGTTACCCCTTTTTTTTAACATCAGTTGAATGCACTCTCCAATGTTGGATAGTTCCGCCCCTGCAACCTCGGTTAGGGCCTGGTTGCACAAACTTATCAGGAGGCTGAACCCTCGACAATCTGCAGAATCCCCATGTTGGTGCTTTGAGTGATGACATCTCGAAGGCCCTGCCGAAACCGGACCGACCACAACACAAACAGCAAAGCAACGATGCAGCGAGGCACAAGGCAGACTGAGCGCTGACAAAGTAGCCAAACCACAAGGCAAACAGGAGTTCCCTGAGGAAAGACAAGCCAAGGGAAGTGGATGCACAGTCAGGCACCAGCGCAGCGAAACACAAGGCAGTGCTAACAAAGCAGCCAAACTACACAACAGACGAGCACACTACATTAAAAGACCAGGCGGGGAGAGGCGGACCGGCCGGCGCAGAGCGCTCTGCCGATCTGCTACCGGTTCGGGAGGACCGGTTTCGCTGACCGCTAAGCAGGCACACAGCTCGCCCACGCGGTGTTGCCGACGTCCAAGCCACGCAAGCGCGAAGGTCAACCTCGTCATCGCCGAGGGGGATATGGAGGCACGTCAGCGAATCAGATCACTTAAGACTACAACCTAAAGCGTACACATGTGAAATCGACATGGCTGCTAAGCCGTGTCCCTGAGGAGAACCTGAGGTCTACCAGCCTACGAGGGAGAACCAAGATCCCTAGCAGTCAGCAAGACAGTCTGGGAGGTGCCGACACCTCTCAACAGTTGAAGGTATAAACACTCATGATATCTCACCAGCTCACTATCTGACGTACCCGCCCAGTCTCTGTAGCCTTTCTCTCCTATCTCGTAGGACAATTCCTCGCTCTGCAGACATGTCAGCATCTTTACCACCGTCGGCCAGAGAAGGTGGGATTCCACCTATCTTGGCGGCCACATCAGCGGAGGCATCGTCCTCTACAACTAACGAGGAGGAAAGAGCCCGAATCAAAATATTGCTTGATCAACGTTTTGATGACGGGCTATTTCCGGATACTGACTTTAGCCACGGAGTTGCCGAAATCATAGATGGAGTAGGATATCTGACGCTCAACGATGAAGTCAACCAGACCACAATAAACTGGTTGAAAGAACGGACCGTGATCGTTGTCTTCAACATCATGATGAGGGCAACCACTCTCTCGGTCGCGCAACAGGAACAATTCATAAGAATTCACGAAGATGCATGGTATCATGACATCAACATCAACCCCTGGCAGAAGAGGGGGCGCACGCACGGAGAAGGTCCCAACGTAACATCCTACGTGGCACGCTCGGCCCAAATAGCCCAATGGCTAATAGGCAAGGGGCATGACTTTATTCCTTCTCGATCCGGCATGGTCAAGGTCTTTTTTAAGCCTTGGATGACACAAGCGGAGCTTCATCAGCTTAGGGATTCAGAGGCTGCGGCCAAATTTCGCGTCATTGCCCTTAGAGTTCCTCTAGAGGCAATGTTCTCTCTGAAGCAAGCTATCGAAAAATTGATGGGACCGATAATAACCATGCACCCACCGGAAAAGAGGGAGGACGGACCCCGATTGGGGAAATGTCCGAATTGATTGCCACCCCTCGTCCGAAATACCTTCATGGGTTGGCTTGTCATCAGGAATCCCAATGGAGCTGGCTTCTTGGAAATCCAGTTCGCCAATCAGGATACACCCTTCTGCCCCAAATGTCTTTGGTGGTACCATGATGAATTTGACCCCGAATGCCCCCGTTTTCACAAACCCATACCCCCAGAGCGAAGGGGGCGAAGCAGGGGTGGAAGAGGAACCCGATCTCGTCAGAATCGACAACCTCCTCCTCCTCCACATTAATCAACACAGGGACGACAGCAGACACCCCGCACCAGCAATTCGAGGGCAGGCATAGCACTAGCAATTGCCACACAATCCGTACCCTCTAGCACTATCCGAACCCAGTCCCCGACCGTACCCGCATCAGCCCCAGTAACATACCGCCCCCTGATGCTCACACCCGCGCCCTCAGCCGCTGCACACTCAACCAACACGACACATGGAGGAAGACCACCCCCCAGCCCTTACTTCCACCCAGCGACAGAAGATGGGAGGTTTAGACCGTTGGTCATCCACCCAATCCCGACCACCCCCCCTTACCAAAACGTCTCCCCCTTCCTGAGCTCCCCTCACCTCGTCACCATCCGAGCTCCCCTCCCCTCGTCACCATCCGCCCCCCCATGCTGCCGACAACCAACCTCGCGACACTTTCATCCAATCAGTTTCAACTGCCACCACCCGCAGCACGCCCCACCCACCCAGTCCTAGCGCAGCTCCCCACAAGGACTGCACCCACCCCGAGGCCAACTCCATATCCCAACCCGGATGCTCTTGCCGTCGCCATACCTGGCCACGGGGGCCAGGAAGGTCTGCCCCCTGCTGTCACGCCGAGCAACAATCTCGCCCCCCCCTTCTCAAGGACAATGGGATTCTCTGGACAGGCTACCTCAATCCCCACTCATTCAACAAGCTATACGCAATATGCTAATCCGACCTTCGAATCACAGCCCTTGACTGGGTAGAGCACAACACTCACTCTCACAGGCCCACAGCCTTTGAGAGCGATGGGACAATCTGACGCAGGACCTTCCTCGTCTAATCCAGATCAATCGGACCAAGCTATGAGAGATCCAAGAACCACGCTGAGATCGCCTTTCAAGATGAGAAGGGTAGGGGTAGAGGTGAGGGAGAAATCATTCGCGAGGAGGCTGAGGTGGACTTAGAATTCGAAGCAATATCACGACCACTGAGCCATGGCAACCCCACGAGCCAACAACTCACGTTAGCTGGCCCATTAGGGCCAACACCAGACACGACATCAGGGATGCCAGGTCTGCCGCCAGGCACGATCAGGCAACTATTGGTCCTGCTATGCTTTTCTCTCGCCCCACAGTCCACACGTTTCATGGCGAAACGGACAGAACAGGGACTGATCGCCATACCGACTGTGCCATTGGATACACCCCCTACAAGCAAGGAAATGGTGTACGTGGCAGCAGCTAGCTTTATTGAGGACAGATTCCCCTTCCGACTGGTCTAGGGGATCAGGATTGGGAGGAAAACTGTTGCCTCAGCACAAGGGGGCAGCTGACACTTTTACATAGCAATGCTAGATGCTAAGGTATCGACGGACACAACTGCATTACTGGCCACACAAGGGGTAACTTGGCTCCCGTCCACGTGGCTAACCTCCAAGACCACACCAAAGCTTAAGGAGACCCACCTCACGCTCGATGTTGATGCAGCGATTGTTGCTGACTTCTGCCTCTCGCTAGCAACAGATAAACACCCCGCAGCAGCAGGTTTTCGCAATCTGCTGCTAGCACCGGGGGCAAACCTAGCCGCCACTAGCCAGCAGGGAAAGGGGAAACACACCAGACCCACCTCCACCGAGCCACTGCGGATCCAATCCTCAGCTGCATCAGCCGCCCAAGATGGTCTGTCTTAATTTTGCCACATGGAACGTTAGAGGGCTCGGAGACACCAATGGGAGAGAGAAAAGATCCAGACTGAAAACCTGGATCCACGATCAGCAAATACACGTGATGGTTCTCCAGGAAACCAAGTTAAACGAGCAAAAGATAAGACAGAGATCCCGCTGGTGGAAAGGACAGCAGTACTGGTCCCCGACTGACGGGACTAAAGGAGGGACTGCGATCCTCTTACACCGAGACCTTGAGGTTCAATATCTCGATCACCAAATTGACATCTGGGGCCAATGGCTCTGGGTCACAGTCCAGATAGGAGATGGACAGTGGACCATCGCTACAATGTACACACCTTCGGAGCCAGCAGAGAGGAAAGCCTTCCTCTCCGAGCTGCCAGCGATCCTGCCTGACGCACCGCACCTCCTAGTAGCCGGAGATTTCAACACCACTTTGGTTCCAGGGCTCGACTCACCTGAAGCGACACCAATCAAATCAGATGCCCTGCTCCTAAACTCCTTCATGGAGGAGAGGGGTCTCGTAGATGCTTTTAGAATGACACACCCGGACATACACGGCTACACCTGGCATTCCTCTCAGAAAACAGAGGACAGGAAACCACCCAAACGCAGACTGGATCTGGTGCTGGCCAAAGGACAGGCTTGGAACTCATTGACCTCAGTGGAGGTCATCACCCACCCCATGTCGGATCACAGGCCACTGCGAGTCACCATGGAGACCGGGGTAGAACTGAAGAGGGGTATCGACATTTTCAGACTGAACACTGACCTCTTGAGGCACAATGAGATCTTGGAATGGATCAAGCAGCATTGGGTGGATTGGGAACATCAGAGAGACTCTTTCCCAACGGAGGAAGGTTGGATACAAATGGGCTTCAGAATCGTCACCAGGGCACTCGATGTATTTTCCAGAATGTATGCTCGCGTTCGAAGACACGAGGAAGAGGCCTGCAAGCGAGAGGTAGAGGAAGCATAGGACATCCTGGAAACTGACACACTGACGGAACTGTATTGGCTGCGAAGAAGGGACTGAGCCCTCGAACGCTGGGATAGGCTGCGGATCGAGCAACAGGTATTGTGGGCCAAGAGGGCAGCAGAGAAAGGAGTGAAGACTGGGGATCGCATGACCAAAGAGACTTTTCTGAGAGTCTGTCCATCAAAGACACACGCTGCTAAGGGAGCTCCTGAGGCTCCACCCGTTCCTCCCTCACGCGGAGATAGCCACAGACTCAGCAGCAATTGACGAATATGCCCTGGAATATTTCCAGGACATATTAACCTCTAGAAGGCCACCCAATCTGTCGCTCGCGCAACTGAGAGCCGAGAACGATCTCTGGGAACATACTACCAAGACCCTCTTAGTGACGGCGAGACTGCAAGTGGACAGGCCGGTCACATACGAGGAGCTGACAGAGGCCCGGAAAGCAATGGCCAAGGGAAAGAGCCCCGGCAGCAACGGACTCCCTGTGGAATACTATGAGGCTACCTGGGACCAAATAGCTCCCATACTGGTCCAGCTTTACAACCATATCCTGGAGGGAGGTCACTTGATGAAGGACATGAGGACCGGCGTCATCACGTTGATCTACAAGAAGGGCGACAAGAGAAGCATTATAAACTATCGCCCTATATCCAGGTTAAACGTCTCCTACAAACTCCTCTCAAAGCTATTGGCGAGAAGACTGGCTCCGCTCCTTCCCGAGCTCATCCACACTGACCAGGGCGCATTCATACAGGGTCGGTCTATTGCAGAGAACATCTTCACTGCAGTGGGAGCACTCGAGATAATACACAGGGAGAACAGACAGGTGGCCATTACTATGCTGGATTTGGAAAAGGCATATGATCGAGTGAATTGGTCTTTCGTATTGGCGACACTCGATCATATGAACTTTGGACCATGCTATCGCCGCTGGGTCCAGGAGCTGTACATGGATACCACGACAACGATTTTAGTCAACGGGCATCAGTCCCTGCTGTTCTCCCGGACTCGCTCCCTCAGACAGGGATGCCCGTTGGCATCACTGCCGTTCGCTGTACAAATGGAGGTCCTCCTGAACAGCCTGAGAGCCTCCCCCAGAATCAGAGGATTGCAACTGGGAAGGGACAGAGTACTGCTGACAGGCGCAATAGCTGACGATCTTCTCCTGGTTGCTGAAGCAAAACCAGTCACAATGCGAGAGATCAAATCCCAGCTGGATGTTTACTCCACCCTCTCTGAAGCTCAAGTCAACTGGGCTAAGTCAGTGTATAATTTACCAGAGGACTATAGGCTCGAGGAGGACTGGGGAATGAGGAGAATAAGGACAGCGGCATCCGAAAGATATCTGGGGCTCCAAGTCTCCCTCACCTCCGCGAGGCCAGATCAGGACAATATCATCGCAGCCAGGACAAGAGCGAAACTCCAGGCCTGCAGAGCAGCAACGGGGATGTCCCTCTTTGGAAGAGCGCTGGTGCTGAACGCAGTGGTGTTCGCTCAGATCTTGTATATAGTGACAATCTACTTGATCTCCAAACCGACAACAACTCGCCTAAAGTGTGATGCAGCGCGGTACCTGTGGAAGCCGGGAGCTGAGGAGGACGAAGGATACATCACCAAATGCGCCTGGGACAGCATCACTAAGCCGAAGCATCAGGGAGGGCTGAGCGTCCTCGACCCTGTAGCCCAGAACCTCTCCCTCCTTTTCAAGTGGATCGTCAAGGCTGCTACACAACATGAGAAGCGGAACTGGATAGCTGTCTTCGAGTACCTGGCTCAGGCAGATTTTCACCTCAAACAACCTCAGCATGTCTGGACCTGTCTCTGGATGGATGCCTACGTCAGAAGACAGCCAGCTTCACCACTGCTCAAATCATGCTGGGCGGCATGGAGAAGCTTCTTCTCCCAACACAGGAAGACTCCTGCAACAAGGGAGGAGGTACTGAGGCAACCACTCTTCGACAATCATCTCCTGTGTCAGGAGGATGGAACGCCTTTCCCGGCTACAACCTCAGGAGGAGCCTTCGGAAGAAGATGGGTGGAGAAGGGGATTCTCACAGTTGCAGATCTCTGGGATCAAGAGGAATCCTGGTGGCTCTCAGAGGAAACGCTAAGGGACGCACTGGGCAGACTACACTATGTAGAGCAGAGACGAAGGCAGCTCATAGATGCAGTTCCACCTGCCTGGCAGAACCTGCTGCAAGCGGACACCCTAGTGGAGGGACAATGGTATGTCCAAAGACAAGCAGGTGAACGAGAAGACAGACCGACCAAGATTCTCCTTTCCGAGGAACAATTGACTGAGGAGTACTTCTGCGCGCAGGAGTGGACGCAGGCTCAACAATGCGGGACAGGGAGCAGACAAAGACTCACTTATGTGAGGCAAACATGCTTGCAGATGGAAATCCCACTCGAGCTGGTGAGAGTCCATACCAGCACCACAAGACGAGGAATCTCAAGGCATGACCTACTTCTTGCAGGAACACCGCTTGCTGCAGCAAGGCTAGACCCGCTAGCAGAAATCAAGGCAAGAGACGGTGGTCATACTACCTGCCTCTGTGAGTTTACCACTACTGTAGGCAGGGAGAGCCTAGCTAAACCCACCATTTCCACTGCAGAGGCAACCAGGAGACTCGCAAGAGTAACAATGGACCCAGCGCTCGCTGAGATCGTCAACCTCAACGATGTTTGGACACAGCTCCACATGCTTCCTTCACTAAAATTCGCAACTTTCCTGTGGCTTCTCACTCACACGATAGTGCCTTGTGCGGTATGGCTTTTCGAAAAAGGCATGGATCTGCCCACCAAATGCCTGAGATGCGGAGGCAGAGAGGAGGAAACCCTCCAACATCTCATCTGGTCCTGCCCAGCATCCTACCGTATCTGGAGATGGTGGAACAGCCACTGGAATCACTTTGTAGGGGATGCGCTTCAGTGGAACGAAGCCTGGGCTTTGGGAGGACAGATCCCAGACCACTGGTTCAAAAGAAGGGGTAAAGGATATGTCGCGCAAGCAATCCGCTCAGTGATACTCTGGTCATCTGTACAGACAGGAACAGCATCCTCTTTGAGCAGAAGTGGACCTCAGACGTGGCAATACAAAGGAAGATCAAGGCATTGATCCGGACGCTGATAATTGTGGACTGGGCAAGAAAGGCAGCCAAAGGCACATCCCCAAGAGGCAGAAGGTGGTTCCTGGTAACCTGGGCAAGGGACAATCAGATGGCCGCGGTGACACTCGAGGGCAAGATGGTTATCTCCCCTTGGTTAGATGTATGAGAAGGCAACATAGGTTAGAAGACCCGTCCCCCACATACCCCACTTACCCCACCTCCCTCCCATACCCCCTCACGATAGATAGCTAGGTAGGCACCAACTTAGACGTAGGCTCAGGTAGCAGGGACTTCACTTCGGATACCCAACCAGGCGCACTCGGTTGTTTGCAGGTCACGGTAGGCCAAGGAGCACAGAGTGTCCAGGAATAGATAGGACCTGAGCACAGGTCCACGAGCCGTTTGTGGGCTCGGTCCAGGCCGGGCTAGGCCTGAGTAATCGTCCATGACCTATATGAGACCCCTACTCCCCTTCAGACCTATCACTCAACCCCACGACCCATATATCACCCTAGGATTAGTAGGTACGAGTATAGGTTTACAGCTGAGCACCCCCCCCTCAGCCCACTCAGCCCCATCCCACATCCCGTCCACCACCCGATACTCCACTCCCTAACCTTTCCTCTCACCCTTGTAGGCAAGTGGATTCGCACTAAACCGGCTGATGCTGCCGGGATAACTCCGGGTTGAATTGTGAGGTCTCCGGCCTCGTTCTCGCAATGTGTAATATGAAATGTGGAATTTGGAGGAAAAAAAAAAAAAAAAAAAAAAAGACCAGGCAGACGGATGGGCTGCAAGGCAACAACGCAGCAGAGCACAATGCAGCACCGACAAGGCAGCTAAACCGCACAGCAAATGAACCAGGTGCAAGGACAGACATGCGAAGCAGGATGGGCGACAAGATAGTGAAGGAGAGTAGACATGGTAGTGCATTAGTCCACCATGGACAAAAGAAGTCAATCACCTACTTACATCGGAAGCGGAACCCCGCAGACAGTTGGCTCCCACCACCCTCGGAGTCGGGAAGGCACTCCGACAAGCGTCTGTCATCAGCCATAGACCATGCACTGGACGCTGACGCCTGTCAGCCAGTGTCTGACGCTAAATACATCAAAAGACTTCAAACCCAAGGTTTCCTTAATAAAGGGAATGAGCCACAAAAAGCCCAGTAAACATCAGAAAGATGTGTACCAGCATGATAACATTGGGTGGAAGCACCTATCTCTGAGATTCTAGAGAACCTGAGCGGATCTGGATTTTGTGATCAAGAGGGTAAAGCACATGCCAAATTGGCCTGGGTGAAATTGGATATTTCAAAGATTCGTAGGAAAATTAATCCGATTCTACAAGGTGTTTGTAGTTATTGTAGTTTTGTTACTTTTGTACACAATTGTATGAAGCTGCATTGTATTTGAGGAATCATACAATATTCCCCAGTCATAAGAGAGAATTTTACAGCTCAGACATCCCGAAGAGAGCACACCCTAATAGTGTAACAGGCTCTCCAACCAACCAACCACTGACTGTTTAGCACTTCTTAGAGGTGTTCGCTTGGAGAGGGAACATAAAAAGAAACACAAAGAAAGACATACGAAAAACAGGAAGAACAACACAAATAGAACAGACTGTGTGTGTGTGTGTGTGTGTGTGTGTGTGTGTGTGTGTGTGCTGTCTCTTATACACATCTAGATGTGTATAAGAGACAGCCCATATACAGAGTGTAATCAGAGAACATCAGAGAAACAACCCTGCCAGCATTGATTACCCGTGTCCTGACACTCCCTTATGCTCCGTAAGACCACCGCCCTACCCATCCTCATAGATTCACGGCTAAAAGTTTATCCACAAAAGTGAAGAGGGGCAGAGGTACCACCTGAACGTGGCCGTGATGTGGGCCCCTTGTGCTTGGGTCACGGCCGCGATGTCTCAGCCACGCCCGACGTCGTGTTTTTCTGAAATGTAAGTGACTAGACTGCATTTGAGACTCGGCCTGCAATTTACCTGCAAAACTTGTTTTGATTGAAAATAGAACCTTGTCTTCTGCCGCACCCATAGTTGTCGCTTGTTTTTTTCTTTGCCGGCCATTTAAACCACCAGTACCTTTCCCAGTTATCAAATCCGAGCCTCTCACTACTGGCATACCGAGCCTCGGCTAGCCTAGAGCTATCAGCAGCAGCAAAGTGTGAATTTCTTTAAAAAAAAAAAAAAAAGGGTAACTTCAGTAGAGTCACAAAGACGAGCTATAATTGCAATTTTTTTTTTTTTTTTTTTTTGAGAACACCCCCACCAGTGTTAGTGCTGCTGATAAGAGAAGACACCACTAACACCTGGGGAGAGGCTCCATCTATTGGTGGGGAGCGTCACCTGCTGGAAAACGGGTCCAGCGTCCCATATACAGAAAAGAGCACTAGAAGGCAAGAGTTTGCAATTGCACTTCTGGCACGCTACCTGGGAAGAGAGCTAGGTTGTATACGTTGCCCAAACTGCAATTAAAAACTGTATCTTGGCCCATAGTGCAATTATAACTCATTTTTTGACTCCCCCAATAGTTCCCCCCTTCCCCCCAACAACAAAACAAAAACAAAAAGGGACAATTTGCAAAATACCCCCAGAAATTGAGATATATGCCAAAATGGCCGTGAAAGATGTGGGTAGAGCAGAGTGCCCTTTTGGGCTGAAATCTTTGCGTTGTGCCCCTGTCAGGCGGGTCTGCAACTTTGCAATCTGGACCTCCCCGTTTGGGCCTTGGCCTTTTGCAATAGCGCCTAGGAGAAGTTGGCTAGTACTGGGGCATTTTGCAAAGTTGGACGGTACCCGGTAGGGGTATATTGCAAAAATGGGCGTCCAACCGACAACAGGGGTATTTCACAAAAAAAAATAAAAATTGTCAGAGGGGTATTCCGCTCTACCCACATCTTTTAGGGGCATTTTGGCATATATCTCAACTTATGGGGGTATTTTGCAAATTATCCTTAGAAAAAAAAGAATGAGATTCAAAAAAGAAAAAGGAAAACGAACAAAGAAACAAAATGTGCAGTTACAAAAAAAGAAAGAGAGAGAGAGAGAGAGAGAGAGAGAGAGAGAGAGAGAGAGAGAGAGAGAGAGAGAGAGAGAGAGAGAGAGAGAGA